GCTTTTCTAATGAGTCTACTCCTCCTGCACGGACGAAACGACTCAAGGAGAGTGGTTCCGCACCTGAATGATCCCGTGATCAATATGCAGTGTACTGGCGATGTTCTCAAGGGTGTTGGTTATAGGCGAGGTCGTAGCCGCCCACCACATCTGAATGTGGAACGATCGGGTTAGTAGCAGTGCCTGGCAGGCACTGCCTGCTCTGTAATAGTCGGATCTGAGCTGCTTTCAATGGATGGTCATGAACATCCCAGTCCTTCGTAAAGTAATGATACTTCCTGCAGTGCGGCAAGTCTCTAGAACCAACATTGAATCTGTTCGTTCTACACGATGGAACTACGTCTAGTGCTAAATACGCTGCTACTAGCAGCCTGCTAGAGATGTTATCAGTGTTGAAGATCTGGAGACTGAGGATTGGGGAAAACCCCTCCTCTACTCGGCATTGGCCATGTTATCAGACTGTTGGTGGCTCTGACGTCTTCCACTGCCTTGGGATATTGGGGTACCGATCGGATCGGTCCGATCCTCAATATTCTCATGACACAGTGTGTCAGACACACGAATCATGTGGTCGCGTCTCGCATGGTCGCGGGTAATTGCAAATAATCAAGGACAGTGTAAAATAGTCACGGACGCAATTTCGCTCGCTCTGAGTGAAATTTTGGGCAACATTTAACGGAGGGGGCTGGGGACTTCATTGGCCGGTCAAACAATTTTCTTTTGTGATAAAATGGAGGGCGAAGCAACGATTCCTAGTCTAGAGAGAACAATCTGCCAGCGGATCAAGCACATTGACCTGCTCCGAAGAGACGGGGAGGCCAGACGGCCCATTGACTTATTTGGATTGCCAAGTTCAGCTCCAAACAAAAAAACGAGGGCGGGAGCCGTAAAGCGACAACCTTGTATGGAAACAGCATACGGCGTGTACGCGTGGACCAATAGCAGGTCCTTAAAAAGCATGGACGAATAAGCTGAAGGAATCATTCAGCAACAGTTTGATGTGAAGGTAGCATCCTACCAGCCTCTCGACGCTCCACTTGTGTCACAACATAGATGTGGATGAAGGAAACAGGACCTGAATATCGTGTCTACGCGTGCAAAACTCACGAAAGTTGCCCTTCTCAAGTGAATTACCACACACAAAACCCAAAACCCGCAAAACTCATATACAAGTGCGAGGTCTTACTCAAGTGCGAGCTCTTATACGAGTTCTCGAAAAAAAACTGTCATTACGGGTAAACCCACGAAACCCGACGGTCTTATTCTCAGGAATCTCAAGCAAGCAGAGAGGGAATAACAAGAAGGCGAGCAGAAACCCGAAGGGAATAACAAGGCAACCACAAACTTGTAGGGAGCAACAAGGCATGCAGAAACCCGAAGGGAATAACAATGTAAATTCCTAGCCCGATGCGGATCGCATTACGCGGTAGAGACGTTATTTACCTTAGGTATGGACGCTATTCCGTGGTTAGTACTACTAACTTGGTAGTGACCTAGGACACCAACTCTAGGGACATTGTCTGTTTGGGCCCGCGCTTTGACAATTTTCAAGAATAAACGGCGCAGGGCCAGCGAGAAGTCACCTCCCTTGAAAATCTGAATTTACCCTCGCTGATGGTAATGCATCTGATGAGAGGCCTAGAGCGTTGCCTAAGCCAACCTTCTTCAGTCTAATAGGGGTATTCCTCATAATGTGAACCTCATTTACTACTCATACAAATGATAAAACATGCTGTTGATGGATTGTTTTTCTATATATATTTTCATGTCTAGGGTCATTGTGATGATGCTTCGAACCATCCATGTATTTGATGTCTGGCGCCCGGCAGTCAATGACGGCGCGCGCCAGGAGACTGCACGGAAACAAGACCACAGAGGACTGCACTTGTCTCACATCATGTGAGACACATGTGCTGGTTTTTTGGATAAACCAAGCTCGATTTTTTCATCACTTTCGACACGATAATTAGTCGGACTACAGGAGGTCCGGATTGGACCAACCAATCTGCTGTATTCCGCTCGATAAAGTCGGTAATACAGCAATATACATGCTCGTCAAACTTCAAGTCAGAATAATAACACTATACAAGTCTATTTTATCGATATGCTTGTTCAACTACTACCCCCGTGACGGGGGCCCCGTCACATTTATGATAACGTTTCCTAGTTGGGTAAGTTGGGTCCTGAGCAGTTCAACCGTATGGTTCAACCATCATGGTTGAGTCCGTTTCGTCGTTGGGAGTGTTCTCGGATTGTGGTTATTCGCGCAACGATTTTTCCATGCAGTGTGGTTGTCAATGCGTCGACGATCTCAAAATGGTATCAATGTCTGGAAGGGCGATTGCATGTGTGTATGTCGTCTCTGTGGGAAATATACGGTTGAGGCAAACGCGACGTGCGTTTGGAGGAGCACCTGCGGAACCTTCGTTCAGACGAGCTTGGCATAACGCCTCCGAGAATAAAAAAGGAAGAGAATTAGAGTGAGCGGCACTCATTCATCGCACGTCGTGACATCCTGTATTTCATGCACTCAGTCCTCGTTGGCCATACTATCGAATCTTACGTGGGTAGTAACACAATCGCTGTCTCTTTATGAGGAAAACCTCATGAAGGGATTGGACGATCGATTTCCGCTATTGTATCGCTCCGTCCCTTTAACTTCTCTCAACCTTGACTCACTAATCTTCTACTAACTACTACTTCCACTCAACCCTATGTCTAGTACTCAGTCGTCAATTAACGGGGAAGGAGCTGCGACCATTACTACAAATGAATCATTTGAAATGATGCATCATCCGAGAATCGAGGATCCATTCTTCCCTGCTGTAGAGTTCTCGAGCACTTCCAATGTCCGATGGACTGGGCAATAGTAAGATATATTGCCTGGTCTGCTACCACTACAGCGGCATCCAACTACGACGGTCGCTCCTATCCTTCCTATGTCAGTTTTTCCTTCCCTTATCTGGACTTTCAAGATCCCCTGCTCTTCCAAGCAGCAGAAGTCGCCGCTGAGGCTGACCGAATAACAAGGATAAAAGTTCGATGGAGGCCAACGATTCTTGAAGCTATCGGTTAATATCGTTACGATGGAGGCGCCACCGTAACGATCGATCAGCATAAGACAAGCACGATCGAAGGGCCGAGACGAGGCACA